GCTATATGTGCTCCAAATAGTGAGATTTTTACAGAAAATGAGGCATTACCTCTCCCCAAAAGGGACACAGAGCAATAAAAAAAACAGAACCTAATGCTTCTCTATCCAAAACAAAGAGGTTGAGAGAAAAGGAAGCACTGTGTGCCATCGTTTGTTTAGATTATGTACAGACTTTCATTAAAGAAAGCATGCAGAAATGGTAGAGCCAATAACTATGTGTATTTGATCATTTGGGTTAGTCCCCAACGAGTAATGAATATACAGTGTTCTACCGAAAATAAGACGCTGTCTTATATTTTTTTTGGCTCAAAAAAAAAAAACACACTGGGTCTTATTTTTTTTTTTTTAATGTACAACAATCCACACTTTTTCATGTACAAAAATATGGTGATCAGGGCAATCAGGGGTGCCGTACCTTTCCAAGAGCAATTTGCTAACCAATGGCTGGCCAGAATGAGCGAAGCGCACTTTTACTATCGATTCCTCACAAGTGGAGTGCATTTGAAATCACTTCGCCTGTGACAGGAGCCGGCGCTATAGAGGAGGCATCGGCTTATGCGGCTCGGCTCCCTCCGCTGCCACCTTGCTTCCTCTACCGCTGGCTTAGTTGGCACCGCTGATTCTCTCCTGCCTCTCCCACAGCTCTTCAAGTTCCCCCTTATGCCACCACTGGCCCTGGGAATAGTCACAACTAGGTCTTATTTTTCGGGGTAGGTCTTATATTTTAGCAATTCCCAAAAATAGTACTAGGTCTTATTTTCGGGGTAGGTCTTATTTTCGGGGAAACAGGGTATATGGCATATAGAGCTAATACACAGTGTACATTTTAGATAAGTTCAGTGTAATGGATGATGTTCTTTACATCTGAAAAAACTGGACTGTTTTAGTAAAGTTTAAACACGAGAACCAGACTGGACACAGCTAGAGAAACGTGTAAAAGAGGAGAGCTCCAGCACTCCTACCTTTATTGCGGATACATATGATATTCAACATATTAAAGATACAAATGGATTGACAAATAGTAGACATTCCCTTTCCTGCAGGTATATTGGCACCAGTATGATTTAATGTACAGACATCTTAATAAGGCAGCGTACAGTCTCCTAGTTAAATGACTGCACAGAAATTTTAAGCGTTATCAAGGCACAATTATAATAAAAAACAGACAGACAACAGTAAATCCCCCAGGGAGCAAATCGTACCTGATAGTCAACCGTATCATCAGTTTCTCCATAGTGTAGCACGTTTACAAAACTCCATTCATTAAAGACATTCAGAATGATTATAGAAGGAGCACTATAGAAATCTTATTAACCCAGCTACAATATTTACACAATTAAACTAAGTGTGACACATTCCTAGTGTTCACCGGCTATACTAGAGAGTAAAAGGAACCTGTATAGGCAGAAAACAAGGGGGCTGAGAATGCCAACTTGTTTTTAAAGATGCATCCTCCAGGGCTGTCACCCTTATCTTTGCTTTACTACTTAGGGAGTCACCAATCCAGGACAAGCACACAACCAGCAAAATGTTGGGATGCTTGGCCTGCACTTTTATCCAAGGTCACTATTTTTATTCCAACAATTTCCCTCAAGGAATCAACGTGTATCCATGTAGTGTAACTCTTATTTACTGTTGTATCTATTGTACTGCAACACTGAATACGTCAAATAGTAGGAGTTAAGCGAAGCACAGAACAAAGCCCAAATATAAAGGTCTAATTCGGGCAAAATATAAATACTTAAAATTACATTACACCATTAGTGTCCTCTCTAAAGCATGCATCAGCTTTTTTTATTACAGTCATTGTAGAAAGTCTGTCCTGTCGATATATATATCTTAAATTATCAGGCCAAATTTAGCAGAGTCTCTGTCTAAAGGTGCCCATACACTGTACGATTCTCGTACGAGAATCGCGGAAAATCCTGCGATCGTACAGTGTATGGAAGGCGTGCGACCGTTTCTACTGTACGGTCGCACGTCTTCCATCGAACAAGCAGGCTGGAAAACCCGCCGGGAATCGTATGATTCTCGGCGAGTGAGTGGCCTGCTAGTTCGACAACTGACGAACGGGCCGGTGTGAGCACACTGCCCGTTTGCCGTCCTTGCAAGCCCGCCCCTCATTGCAGTCATCGCAAGCCCGACCCTCAAGGGGGCGGGCTTGCGATGATCGCAAGTACGATCTGCCTGTCCAAGATGGGCAGATCGTACGTTTTTTAAGTACTTTACAACCATCGCAAGACTAAGGTCTTGCGATGGTTGTACAGTGTATGGCCACCTTAACCCTAATCAACAGGGGCATAATGATTGAGGACTTAGTGACACTAAACTCAGGAGTTAAATCTTAAAAATGCATTCAAGCAACTTAACTATTAACAAAAATGTATCTTATTTGTGTATCACTCACTTGTAGATACTTAAATCATTTCTGAATTCATGCTGACACTGTCCTTCCTTCTGGAGGGTGGCTGCTTTTGTTCCCCATGGTCCCTGGACGTGTTGTAAAGTAGCCACAGCTCTAAGCTAGCTCCCGTGATAGCTCATTTGTATTGACATTAAAGTGTAAGTAAATGTGAGATTGAAAGCCATCACAGGAGTGAGCTTGGACCGGTGGCTACCCTACAATCACACACAGACCATGGGAAACAAAAGTAGTCACCCTGCACAAGGAAGGACAGTGTCAGCACCAATATAGAGATAATTTGATGATCTACAGCCCAGTGATACACAAATAAGATACATTTTTGTTAATAGTTAAAAGGTACTTGAATGCATTTTTAAGAATTAACTCCTGAGTTTAGGGTCACCTAAAATTAGCATATTGCAGTCACAACATCCAATGTGCATAGCCCCTTTATAATGAGACACAGTAACTGATATATACAGCTGTTTAAGGGGGTTCTAGAGGAAAATCTGCACAACCTATTGTTACATGTACCAGTCAAATTTACAGAGAGTTCCAAGTTATCTACCTTTGTTAAATGTGCTAAACTGGCATGATATTATGAACATTCTCACTCAAAGTTAATAGTTCTTATAGGGAAAACAGTCAACATCTATAGATGATAGACAAAGCACCTTCCATGAGATGCTCACAATAAAACAGATGCCATTATTACATATCATACATTTGCGCAGAGTAGCCTTACAGTCTCCGTTACTGTTGCATGAACTGTAAGCATATAATAGGAGTTCAAGAGATAGAATCAGCATGCAAGTGCGGAGAGACTTCTACTGTGTCGTGATAGCAGATTTGCCTGTTCAGCACAGCGTCATTAGATGGGCAAGAAAATACCACAAAGATGTTTGTTAGCAATCTGGATTAATTTCAGGGAAAAAAAAAAGATACAAAATCCTCTGTAAATTATACTGAAGGGACCAAAAACAAAACTGGTTTACTGTAGTACAGTTATAGAATTAAGGTGACCATATATCAGACTATGTTAGGTAGAGGTCATTTAGAACCATCTTTAAAAAAACGGGACTAACTGATTAATAAAAAAAAGGTTAAAAATTTAAAAGGTTAAGTAACGAATAACCAGTGTTACAGAAAAAAAAAAAAAGCTGCCCGGAAACAGCTACTATAAAAACACTGAAAAATGGGTCTGCATGCTATTACTCAGAAATAAAAAGCTTAGACATCTAGTTAAGTTAGGCCAAGAATGATGCCACTGAAATGCTAGAGAAAAAAAATTAAACACAGGATCTATCCAGACTAAGAAAACTCCCCTAAGCATAGTAATTGTGAATTCCAAGCAGTGACATGACAAGACTAGTGAAGGTATTAAAATTCCAAGCAGTGACATGAAGACTAAAGAAGGCATTAGCATTTCAAACAGTGACATGAAAAGACTAGTGACGGTATCAAAGTTCCAAGCAGTGACATGAAAAGACTAGTGAAGGTATTAGAAATCCAAACAGTGACCAAAAGGACTGGTGAGGGTATTAGAAATCCAAACAGTGACAGGAGAAGACTAGTGAAGGTATTAGAATTCCAAACAGTGACCAAAAGGACTAGTGAGGGTATTAGAAATCCAAACAGTGACAGGAGAAGACTAGTGAAGGTATTATAATTCTAAACAGTGACATGAAAAGACTAGTGAAGGTATTATAATTCTAAACAGTGACATGAAAAGACTAGTGAAGGCAGTCGAATTCCAAACAGTGACATGAAAAGACTAGTGACGGTATCAAAGTTCCAAGCAGTGACATGAAAAGACTAGTGAAGGTATTAGAATTCCAAACAGTGACCAAAAGGACTAGTGAGGGTATTAGAAAGCCAAACAGTGACAGGAGAAGATTAGTGAAGGTATTAGAATTCCAAACAGTGACATGAAGACTAGTGAAGGTATCAGACCCCCAAGCAGTGACATGAAAAGGACTAGTGAAGGTATCCAAGCAGTGACATGAAAAGACTAGTGAAGGTATCCAAGCAGTGACATGAAAAGACTAGTGAAGGTATCCAAGCAGTGACAGTTAATCAGTAACATAGTGTAAGTATACTGCAAGAATGATTAGTGATGACGATGCAACACGCGCTAAGCGTGAGATAGCAGTGCACAATCTGCAAAATCAAAACCAAAGTGCCTTAAGTGGCATAAAAACATAATGGGGACACTCTTTACAATTTTGAGTGTTTCTATAGGAAATAGCCAGAGAGATTTGGCATCTTATATTTACAAAAAAACCTAGGCATAGCCATCCTTAAAGAAAAAGATCAAATATGTACAGTACCATTTTTGCAAAGACATATTAGACAATCTTAGATGATGCTGTGCTCAACAGTTCCTCCTGTATGGTCAATGGAGTTGACACAATCACAGATGTCTCCAATTTTTGCAGCCTTAAAATCTGGGTAAACCAATTACTCCAACAACACATTCCTGAGCTGATGATACCTCAGATAAGAAAATTGTAGCTATGGCTGCTTTGTATTCCACCTGATCACCTGATTTTGTTAACACATTTAGTTAACAAAAACATTTTTTTTTTAAAAATCAGATATTTGGTGGTCCATTTTTATCCTGCACCCCAAGTTGGTTAAAATTGGCATACTGGGTCAGTGGATTGCTGAAAAATAAGTTGATGTCAAGTGGGGTCTCTTCCTCAGAGTCCCAAGAATCACCATCGGAACTGCTTGAGTCTTCTGTTGTTGGGGGGTAGCTAAGCTGTTCAAGCTGGTCCAGTATGTCTCCAAACTGGAGAGCAGAGCTGGATTCTGACCGCACAGAGCAGGCTGGAAAGTTGATCATTGAGCTGGCAGTGGAGTGGTTTTCAGAACGGGAAAAGCTTGGAATACCATTAAGGTTGGTGAGTGAACTGCTTTCAGAGTGATGATGGAGCAGAGAGCTACTTTCTGAGCGATGGTTGAGAAGTGAGCCATTTTCTGATGGGCTAAGAAGACTCTGCATTAGACTAGCCTGAGCCTTCATCTCAAACAACTCACTAGCATCTGTTTGCCTTGTATTGCCATTGAAATCTCTTATATCCATATCATCCAAATAATACTCTTCTGGAGTAATATCCTCCTGGTCAGATGCGGCCATTCTTTCCCCATAATTATACACCTCTGCTCCTCCACTGAAGGAGATGTCAGCTGGATCATCATCTATAAACTCTTCAGAAATCAACAGAGAATCAGAAACCCCCGACACCCACAACCTGATTTCCTCACCGTGGTGAACATTTTCTGAATCCAGGCTTTCTATGGTATTCTGTCTACTGGGTAAGAATGGGATAGGGTGGGGTGAAAGACCTTGTAATGCCGAATGAACTGGCAATCCTGTGGTCTCCGGAATTCTGGCTGGTTCTTCTTGCCACGGAGAAGCTGGAATATTTTCGATTCTGGTAATGCTTTTCTGTGGGATAGAGGTGGGAGGGCTGGATACAGGTTGAGAGGGTAGGGTAAAAGGAGAAGGCAACGGAGGGGTCTTCAGACTCTCAGTGAAAGTGATGATCTGCAAGCACAACAGGTTGAAATGATAAGCATGTTAAAAGAACAATATAACCTATATAAATAATGGTGATCTTCACTTATATAAACTATATGGAGAACAACTGATCATAAGTGAAAGGGAGCATAATATTTGCAAATGCAGAAATGCGTAACAAAAAAAGGGAAAATCCAGAGAAAAAAAAAAAAGACTATCATGAGAAAGAAAGCAAACATTAGCATCATAGAATAGAAAAAGTCTGAATTGAGATGCACAGTTATTACCACATATTTAAGGACACATTTAAGTAGCCAAATCGCCTACCCAGCACCTTAGCACTAGCTGCTGCGATGAGAGCTATTAGGCTCACGGTGGCCATTTAAAATGCATGGTAGACAAATTCCCCAAAAGTTATCTTTGTACCTACAGTACAAGAATAGTAAATATGTTCTACAAGAGTATATGGAATGTTCTCCTTCCTTTCATCAAATAATTACAAATGGCTAGACTAAAGCACTTTCATGCAGCATGTAAAATTTTGAAACATACAGCAATTTCAGTTAGGTTCTATAGTTTGTATGCAGCCTTTGTTAAGATACAGTAGTTGTTGTGTATTGCTAGATGTGACTACCTCTGTAGTAAACATACCTACTGGTGAAGCAGGTCTTAAGGCACCAAGTCTTAGATCTACATCTATTACTTAGATCTGTAATAAATGTACCTCCATGTGCAAGAGGAATCACAGGCGAGTACACTTGCACCAGTACATACTGAGCCAAGCACAATAAAATGTGTGCTGCTTCTAATACCTGAGGGAAAGGGTATCTTCTGGTAGGAGCAACATGCACCATTTCCTATCGTCCTTTCAGCAGTATAACAGAAGTCAAGGAGATAATAAGCTTGGGAAGGGGGAGGGGGGTCAATTAAAATATAAACTGGTCTAAATTATAGTTAGGAAAAGTGGCTGCTTGTAAATATGTTCCACCAAAGCACCTGACACTTTGTCTTGTGTTGCAAATGCCACACTACATAGGCTTCATGTATTACTTGTCTCCAACATGGCTGTTATCTGACCTAAGGCTGATTCCCAATGAGGCCTATAAACTTGTATGAGATTTGAGTTCAGTGCAGTCAGTCACACAGCGCTGAGTTTCTGGTAAGAACAAGTATTTTTCTGTACTTGCAGAAAATATACTCAGCCTGAAAAGAAAACGAATTCAGCCACCACATGCAAGGGCAGGTCAGCTTCAATATATATGAAATTGTTTGCTCTTTGGGTTTAGATATAATTTAAATAAGAATGTAGATAACATATTGAATCAAGTACCAGTACAATCCCCGCCCTCCCAAGTTGTTCTGATCTAGGTCCAGGCAATACATTAAGCAAAATGAAAAGAAAAAAAAAAAAAGCTGTATAGAGAAACAGAAGCAAGGTTATCTAATAAAATGCAGCAAACATTAGCCAGTAAGCGGCAAAGCAAGGGAAAAAAATCTAGGAGATCTAAGGAACCACAGAAAACAGAAAAAGCAAGAGAGACAGCAAAGCATGAGGGACCCAGGGCTGTACATCTACACGCACCTGCTTTGGAGAATCAGGAGTCACAGTGCAAGGGGACACTCTGGGTTTGCTGTGTCTCCTGCAGGATAGAGAGCAATGCAATCAGGAGGATCCCACTGACACCAAAGCCCAATGGTTAACACATAAGCAGGTACTATGCACACAAGCAATGTTGAAGAGACTCATGAACAAGAACATGAGGGATAATGAGAGATAAGTACCAAGTATGAGAGTAATGCCATAACATGCAATTTTACTCTTGACTGTAGCCTATAAGGCCACTTACTTCCTACCTCTTGGTATTGGTCTAATATGCCTATGTCTAACTATAGCCTGTATTGTAAAATGTTATGTCGCTACAAGAATGAGATCACACAGATCATTCTGCAGTGGTTACAGGTGAAATCCTATTAAGCAATTTAACCTATCAGGCTTGTGGCACAGTTGTGTCAAGCAGAAAGCCTGCTCAGCCTCCAAACTGCTGGCACCATATCACTTCATCTTACTAATGAGGGAGAAAAAAATAAATAAAATAATCAAGAGCTGGGCGTTGACACTCCTTAAACCAAACTATTTCCTTTAGAAAGCAAAATATGGAAGTGAAAAGGGCAACTCCACCCCAAACCAAGATTTTAGGATCACAAGGATTGCAAAAAAGTTAAAAATCACAAGCTGCCTTGTATCTCATACGCTGGCCATACATATAGCAATTATTTGGTAAATCAATTAAAACCACTACAAACGCCAGTCAAGAGGCATTTCTGATCTACCAGTTTTTATAATCTGGTTGCTCAAAAGTGGGAACATGGCAGATTGCTATGGACCAATCGATTCCATGCAGCGGTTTTCTAAACCAAGACTTCATAGGAATCTTCTTAAACTGGCACACAACTGAGGATATGACTAACTATAAATCCTCAGTCCTGCATACTTGCCTTGCCTATTACCTGCCAAATGATGATGTCATGCTCTCCTGATGGGAGTTCTCCATAATGTAGAATAAACTGATTGAAAATCCAGAGCTAAGAGAGTAACATCTTCATTAAGGCATGTAGGAGACAGCCTTCTGCTTGGAAATCTCATCACCGGAGACTCCAAGACTTTTAAAAAAAAGCTATAGATGATTCAGGTTTTTAATAGGAGTTTTGGATGGACTCTCAGTTAGTAGTTAGTAAAGCAAAAGCAAATAATTATGCTTACTACTAGCCACTCAACCAATTCAAGTTGTAATTTCAGCTTAGTTCTTTTCCACGTTCAGCAGCAACCTGGAAAAACCCTACATTCACTCAGAAATATGGCAAACTGGACTTCTAGTCAGAGTTGTATTCTGCTGAAGAAGGCCTAGTGGGGCTCTGATTGCTCCAACAGTCTCAATTCTCCTTCTTTCAGCACAAGAAACAGCTGCTTGGTTGGGATTTTAAACACTTTGGGGCTGGTTTAGAACTCCTCCGTCCAGATGGTGTTTTCTTTACCATAGCAATAGGAAATTCCTATGCTCTTGAGCACCATCTAGTGGAGCAGTGCTGTGAAATCAGAAGAGTTATAAATCAGCCCCATACACTAATGCTGGTCAACATGGCCTACTAAATGCAGGGTTTTCATTTTTACTTAAGCGCACTATGCAAGTGCTGCAGCTCAAGCATGTGTATTTATAGAAAGCCATCTCTTTGACATATGCATTTTGCTAAGCTGACAAAATAATGCCAGTCTTGTCTAGAATGACTAGCGGGTAAAACTAAACATGTCTAAAACTATTAGTTACCACTGTCCCACAATTGTCACAACTTTGTCCTCAGCTTTGTATAGAGTGGTTAAAAACTTTGCCAAGTTTATATTGTCTGTCTCCCCCAACTGGGGAGATTTCTCCTAATTTCCTTTGTACTCACCGGGACAGGAAGGCAGGGGGATCTCTCCAACAAAAAGGTACAGACAGCAATAATGCTGCTTGGTATTAACTAGGGATGCCCCGATACCGAATATTTGGGCGAGTACTCCTACTGGCCCAAATGCTCCAATACTGGAACTTCCGGTCAGAGGGAGATCTCCCTCTGACCGCAAGTGCTGAGGGAGCATGGAGCCGGCCTCCTTTCCAATAAGGAAGCTGGGCGGTGGGTTATGACCCGCCTCCTGATTGGCTTGGAAGGCTGCTTCACTTGCTGCGAGGCAGCCTAGCTTCCTAGCTAAATCAGGAAGCCGTCGGCACAACATGACCTACGTCCCAGCTTCCTGATTGGCCAGGAAGCCACGCTAACTAGCAACAAGTGATGTCGGCTTCCTAGCCAAACAGGAAGCCGGGTCATGACGTGTTGCCCGGCTTCCTGATTGGCTAGGAAGCCGGCTTTACCCATTGCTAGGCAGCCTGGCTTCCTGACCAATCAGGAAGCCTGACAGCACCTCGTGACTTGCCGCCTGACTTACTGATTGGTCAGGAAGCCAGGTTGCCTCAGCATGTGAATTTGTTCTTTCGCTAGAACACCAGCATCACAGGCAATCAGGAAGCTGGGCGACGTTCTCATGATCCGCCACCTGACTTCCTGATAATCTGGGCACACGGGAGCGGCGAGTCCTGAAAAAGAGTATCGTACTCGATACCACAAAAACGGTATTGGTGCATCCCTAGTATTAACAGAGTAGGGAAGGGTTACAATGTCTGGCAGTTATTGATGTATATGTCCACGTTGGAGTGATATCCCACAAGCTCCTGTGTTGTCGCAGGAAGTGGAAAGCTCACCAGCCAGGATACAAAAAAACAAAAGGTTCTAAATCTTACCCATTCTATTTATAAATATTAAAACGTGTTGGGTATAGCCGAGCTGTGACAGAGGTTAGCAATGGTGAGAAAGCGGTAAGACATATTTTACATTTACTTTACTAAATAGTTCGGTAGTCAAATGTGATAAAAGGTGTGCTATATACAAGTTAGTGCTCTTTGTTTTACAGGAGATATGGAACAACTACACACACACACACACACACACACACACACACACATTTGTGTACATATTAACCATAATCTTACATCTATTATACGTCGGAGTTAAGCAGTCACAGAGAACATTATAATACACAGAAAAATATGCACATTACGGAAGAACTTTAAAAGCAAAAATGGACTAAGTGCATTTATTAAGCATTAAAAGTATGATGAAAAGAATGTGGCTGTATATCACAGGAGCACTAACCAGTAATATACACATCAGGGCTGTGTACTGACCTGTCATATGGTGGCCTCTTAATGCTAGTGTCCCGTACATAGTCCATCAGTTGCTTCTGTGTTCTACCACTTAAAGGAAAAAAAAAGGACCCCTAAAAAAAAAAAAAAAAAAAAAAAAAAAGTCATAAATCCACACAGCTGAGCCAACACATCTATGGTCTTTCCTTCACTATAAAAAACAAACAAAATACCTGGCTGAATGTCTCTGTTTAAGTTGGTATGGGGCTAATGGCATCTCCCCGCTGATTCTCCATAGCTGCTTTGGAGCCCAGCAGGGATATCTCTTCATATGTAGGCATATTCAGCACATGCTGTGAAACCCCTAAGAAGTTGGGTTGCCTATTGCCACTACCATTACCTTTCTCACTGTATTCATCATAAATGGAGCAAATGCTACAGTAACCAATACCAGTGTCAATAAACAACTCTCTGCATATCATTGGCTGTGTCAGTACAACACTAGGTATTGACAGCTAGTCACAAAGCAAGGTTGAGCCCCACACAATATAATGCTCTGCCAGTGATCACGATTTATGGGTAGCTTAGTGGCATGCAAAATTGACAATCCTTTCCTATGATCAATGAGAAGAAGGTTTATGTGCCACTTCTTTCGCCTAAGTAAGCTACACAAGCAACAGTGCCAAGACCTGGCATTTTGCTCAGGGAGATATCTGCCAATCTGAACAACGTAAAACAAAAAATAGTTCTAGACAAGCAAAATTGCAACATATCAACTCTGGAATCATTAACACTTTCCAAAATGATGTACATCAGCCCATGCTGCATAAAGACAAAGTAAATACAAATTGTAGATTTGTACTTCTCTGAAACAAATCCCTACACAGCCCATATAAGAATCCACAATTCATTGCAGTTATCACTTTTAAACTTCCCCGTTCATTTACCTGTACCGAAACGAGGAGCCCCGACTCAGAAGAACAGGCTTAGATTTTGGCTTGGGCTGATCCTGGAGCCGGAAGAAGCTGTGATACTCGACACAGATCTTCCAAAACCTCTTACACATATCCCGGCTGGGGAGGAGGAACTCCAGGGCATCCTGATACGGACCCTACATGAAAGGATGAGGAAGAAATAGGCACATTATGTAGAAAAGGCAACAATATATCATATCAAAAAAACAAAACTACTATTCAAGACACTTCCAAATGATTCACTTTTATTAAAGAAATGTTTGAATCAAATTATTATCAGGGATTTAGTAGTCACCTTAAGTCTGACAGTTGTTTTTGCCCATCGTCTACCTTACTTCACATACTGCAGAAGATGGGCGATAGTATGAGGTCAGGCTGGTGTAAAGGCCAGCAAATGACAGACCTTTGACCTTCTGACTGCCTTTTTGTATGATGAAGGTATACATTTCCTTTAAACCCAATTTACACGAAAGAACAAAACAAAAAAATACCACGATCCATGAATCAAAGCATGCAACAAATAAATAAAATGATCCATGTATCATAGACCATGACACTTACAGACTCATTAAAAAGGGACCCTAAACTCAAGTTAAATCTCAAAATGCATTCGAATACCCTAACTATTAATAAAAATGTCTCTTATTTGTGTATCACTTGGATGTAGATCCTCAAATCATCTCTGAATTGGTGCGGACACTGTCCTTCCTTCTGGGGGTGGCTACTTTTTCCCCCCATGGTACCTGTGTGTGTTGTAAAGAGTAGCCACTGCTCCGAGCTCGCTCAGGCGATGGACTACAATCTCATGCTTAGTTTACCAATTTGTGTTGAGATTGTAGTCCCTCACGGGAGCGAGCTTGGCTAAAGACGGATAGTGCCAGCATAAATTCAGAGATGATTTGAGGATCTACAGCAGAGTGATACACAAAAAAGATAAACTATATTGCCAAACGTATTGGGACGCCCGCCTTTACACACACATGAACTTTAGAGGCATCCCAGTCTTAGTCCGTAGGGTTCAATATTAATTTGGCCTACCCTTTGCAGCTATACCAGCTTCAACTCTTCTGGGAAGGCTGTCCACAAGGTTTAGGAGTGTGTCTATCAGAATGTTTGACCATTCTTCCAGAAGCGCATTTGTGAGGTCAGGTACTGATTTTGGCCTGGCTCACATTCTCCGCTCTAATTCATCCCAAAGGTGTTGTATCGGGTTGAGGTCAGGACTCTGTGCAGGCCAGTCAAGTTCCTCCAACCCAAACTAGCTCATCCATGTCTTTATGGAGCTTGCTTTGTGCACTGGTGCACAGTCATGTTGGAACAGGAAGGGGCCATCCACAAACTGTTCCCACAAAGTTGGGAGCATGAAATTGTCCAAAATGTCTTGGTATGCCGATGCCTTAAAGAGTTCCCTTCACTGGAACTAAGGGGCCAAGCCCAACCCCTGAAAAACAACCACGCACCATAATCCCCCCTCCACTAAACTTTACACAATTCAGGCAGGCATGTACCGTTCTCCTGGCAACCGCCAAACCCAGACACGTCCATCGGATTGCCAGACAGAGAAGTGTGATTTGTCACTCCAGAGAACACGTCTCCAATTCTCTAGAGTCCAGTGGCGGCGTGCTTTACACCACTGCATCCGACGCTTTGCATTGCACTTGGTGATGTGAGGCTTGGATGCAGCTGCTCGGCCATAGAAACCCATTCCATGAAGCTCTCTACACACTGTTATGCCAATCTGAAGGTCACACGAAGTTTGGAGGTCTGTAGCTATTGACTCTGCAGACAGCAGGTGAGTTCTTCGCTTTCTGTGCTTCAGCATGCGCTGACCCTGCTCTGTCATTTTACGTGGCCTACCATTTTGTGGCCGAGCTGCTGTTGTTCCCAGTTGCTTCCACTTTATAATACCACTAACAGGTGACCATGGAATATTTAGTAACAAGGAAAGTTCACGGATGGACTTATTGCATAGGTGGTAATCTATCACGGTACCACGCTTGTAGTCACTGAGCTCCTGAGAGCGGCCCATTCTTTCACAAATGTTTGTAGAAGCGTCTGCATGACTAGGTGCTTGATATTTTACACTTGTGGCCATGGAGGTGACTGGAAGACCTGAATCCAATGATTTGGAGGGGTGTCCCAATACTTTTGGCAATATAGTGTATATTTTTGTTATTAAGGGTACATGAATGCATTTGTAAGATTTAACTCCTGAGTTTAGTGTCACTTAAGTGGTGTGTACCTCCTTAAGTGTGGGGATTAAAGTTTTCTGTAGTATGTATATACCTAATCATTCCATCAGACATCTTTCTTTACATGAACTTGGCAAAATAAATAAATATATATATATATATATTTTTATAATGCTAAAATGTAAAATTGAGTACAGGCTAAAATACATTAGTCCTGTGAAGAGCAGACATCACAACAAGTCTGCTATGTCCTTTATTAACCAGAAAGGTCTCATTCCCCTGCGTCTTAAACTATTTTCACTTTGTTACTGGGGTCTGACTTTTCCAGACTAGATGGCTTAGTTCCAACAAATGTCATTATTGTAATACAGGATTTATATAGCGCCAACAGTTTGCGCAGCACTATACAAAATTGAGGGAGACTATTAACAATACAATTTCAGTACAGGCGGTAGGGGGGCCCTGCTCGTCATTCTCTAATCCAATAAGAATGCCCTGACTTGTTATTCAAGCAGACAAACAAAGAGATACCTAGTCGCATTCCTTACTAGAAAAACCCTAAGTTGAATGAGGGGGGGCTGGGGTGTGCTTGTAGTGACCTGCGGATGGCGCCGCCACACAGTATACAGATGAATAAAATGTTACCAGCACACCACCAGTATTGCAGTCCAAAGAGTTTGTTTGTTGGAATGTCATGTCACCAAAACTAGCGCTTTCGGGCCCACGCAGGGTCCCCTTCATCAGGCTCAGCAATGATGTTATTGCTGAGCCTGATAAAGGGGACCCTGCGTGGCCCCGAAAGCGCTAGTTTTGGTGACATGATGTTCCAATAAACAAACTCTTTGCACTGCAATACTGGTGGTGTGCTTGTTACTCAAGCAGTCTCGTTGTACCGTGGAATAGTTGCAGCAGCGCTTAGGCTGGGTTCACACCTAGGCGTATTGAATAGGCGCGTTTGTTGCGCGTTTCTCACGCGATTCACTGTAAAAACGCACGTTTCCGAAGGCTACTCGGCTGTATCCCAATGGAAACGCGCGACAAAAACGCCCCAAAAGAAGCTCCTGTACTTCTTTGGGCGTAGGACGTTTTGTAGCGCGTTTACACGGCCTGTAATACGCCCAGGTGTGAACCATACCCCTAGGAAATAATGGGATTTCGGTGTTTGAGCGTTTTGCAGAGCGTAGGAACGCGCTACAAAACGCCCAGGTGTGAACCGGGCCTTAGCCATCAGATCAGAAAAAGTATGTTCACAGATACAAAGTAAAAGAAATGCAAAATAGACAATGAAAACAGTTCTTTGGCTAATAAAAAGTAACAGCATGCCTTATTTGGCATCTGCTATTGGAAAGACTAACTTTTAAAGGTTTAAGATAGAGCACAGGCTTCCTTTGCACAGCTGTGGCAAAATATTATGTTTAAATATATCCTGTAATATTTTTGTTTAAATAAGTTTATTTAGGAATTAGGGTTATCATATTACCTCATGTTAAATCAAGGGCGTGTTTTTTACACTTTTGGGGTATTTAATAATCAAACAATTGTCCAACCAGCTCTCATAGCTCAACCTCCCCCAACAAAGATGAAAGTGACTAGCAATGATGTTATTGCTGAGCCTGATAAAGGGGACCCTGCGTGGCCCCGAAAGCGCTAGTTTTGGTGACATGATGTTCCAATAAACAAACTCTTTGCACTGCAATACTGGTGGTGTGCTTGTTACTCAAGCAGTCTCGTTGTACCGTGGAATAGTTGCAGCAGCGCTTAGGCTGGGTTCACACCTAGGCGTATTGAATAGGCGCGTTTGTTGCGCGTTTCTCACGCGATTCACTGTAAAAACGCACGTTTCCGAAGGCTACTCGGCTGTATCCCAATGGAAACGCGCGACAAAAACGCCCCAAAAGAAGCTCCTGTACTTCTTTGGGCGTAGGACGTTTTGTAGCGCGTTTACACGGCCTGTAATACGCCCAGGTGTGAACCATACCCCTAGGAAATAATGGGATTTCGGTGTTTGAGCGTTTTGCAGAGCGTAGGAACGCGCTACAAAACGCCCAGGTGTGAACCGGGCCTTAGCCATCAGATCAGAAAAAGTATGTTCACAGATACAAAGTAAAAGAAATGCAAAATAGACAATGAAAACAGTTCTTTGGCTAATAAAAAGTAACAGCATGCCTTATTTGGCATCTGCTATTGGAAAGACTAACTTTTAAAGGTTTAAGATAGAGCACAGGCTTCCTTTGCACAGCTGTGGCAAAATATTATGTTTAAATATATCCTGTAATATTTTTGTTTAAATAAGTTTATTTAGGAATTAGGGTTATCATATTACCTCATGTTAAATCAAGGGCGTGTTTTTTACACTTTTGGGGTATTTAATAATCAAACAATTGTCCAACCAGCTCTCATAGCTCAACCTCCCCCAACAAAGATGAAAGTGACTTTAACACTCACATGGACCTCCGGATGTAATTTTATAAGGAAGCGCCGTCTTTTGAAGCTTAATTTCCGTATCTTTGACCAGTTAAATGTGTTAATTCTTGTGTTACCCTGCAAGTCAAAACAGAAAAAGGAGGTAATAAGCATAAGTGAAAAGGAACAAAAGTAATGACACAGAGAATAAAGATGGGACTCGATTTACTTGTGAAGCAAAAGTTTAGAGTTAGGACCGCACTATATAGGAGGTGCCTTGGCGAGGCAGTGTGGCTTTCACATTTTCTGCAGAAGACGTGTATCTAAACCTCTGTTTTTAACCTTAGCGGTGAGACAAGTTTTTTTGCATACTGGCTGGTGAGTGTGCTGGGAAACTTTTTGCTGTTCTATTTACTTGCAAGTGCTATAAACATGGATGTTGTGTTGTCTAGCCGTTAAGTGAATGGCACAGAAGTGCACATATACAGTGGAAAAAGATGTTGCTGTCCTTCAGCATAAATGTGCAGATATAAAAGCACTGTGCTTTGTGGTGCTCTGCATTGTCCATTCTTGTGTCTTTTCATGCTCGCGTTAAAGGTCCAATGAAAGTGACTGTGCTGAGCTAATGCAACCTGTGTCAAAGCACACATAGGTGAAAACGGGGAATGAGTCTGTCTGCTTCAGGTAAAGGGAACATTCTCTGGGGTCCAGTCATCAATGGCCGAGGAAGTCTGCCTGCCAGTTTTCCACACTTAAAGATGTGCATGGCAGACAAGGTCGGAATGTAATGTTCTGCCCAACACAGAATCAGGTCGCTTTTGTTTGAGCTGTGCCACTTCTGGTACCTTTCGGATGATGTAAACCATGGCAGTGGCGCAGTCTGACTGCATCCTGGTCAGATGACCTTGTAACGATGTTGAGGTCAAGCATCAAATCTCCCTGAGCTCTAGGATGTTATTTGGAGGTCAAGATTCCTTCGTCAACTAGGTCCTATTAACCAAGAGGTTTTTCCCAGGACTACTCACCAGCCTGGCAAGCTGGCATCCAGGAGCAGCCCAGCATTTTGTCTGGAGAACCCTCAACCACAGGGTCCAAGCATAGGATTAGAGATTAGATCTTTTCCAGGGGAAGAAAACCCTGGACAGGGCCATGTACAAGACTAGGTCCAGGCACTCCCAAGCAATAAGAGGGTCCGACATTGACTTCCAGAGATTGAGGACCAGTCAGGAGGTCTGCATAATTTGTATAGTCTGATAAATGCTGGCTGATAAAACTTGTACCAACTGCTGTCTGAGGAGAATACTGTCCACCAAACGACCCACACTATGGGGATCTTCTAAGCCTGTAGCCAAAACAGAGGACAGCACCTTGGTGAATAACTGAGGTGCGGTGGACAAAAAGGGCAACAAACTGTGATCCCAAATTCTTGATGTCCACCCATGTCAGTAAGTGTAGATTTCATATGGAACATTTGGACTCACAGAAAAACTTCAGACTGAGAATAGAGGGAACTCTCTCCTCCCCCCCAGGCAGCAAAATGTGTTCTTGCTCCCCGTTCCTTCCTTGATCAAAGTAGGATTTGCTGAACAGGCATATTCTAGTAAAAGAGCATGCATTCAAGTTCACTTCTTGCCAGGAAGCTCTGCAGATCAGCATTTAAGCCATAGGATTTGTTGAATGTGGACAGTCAAGAGCCAGGGCCTCCAAGGGCAAATAGGGCCTTCAAAGAGGGCTGATCCTAGTCAGCATACAACATGGATTGTAGAAGTATGTGTACAGGGCAGGTTTTGGCAATTTTTGGCAATTTTTGGCATGTTTGGACTACACTTTAAGACTACTAGCCTTTGCAAAGGCTGATGCAGGCAGTTCCAGCAAACAAGTATGCACTGCATCCACAAGGAGAGAAATTGGGAGAGATGTCAGGGAACAGGTTTGCTGGGCTGAGTACACAGAAGTGGAAGGACAAGCAAACAGGAAGCTCAGAAGGAATCTCAGAAAGTGAAGGAGAGGGGGCCTTGCTTGCACCCCCTATGGTCTAAGAATTTCAAAAGGTCAAACATTTTCTTCATAAATTCAGTCATTACAGAGGCAAAGTTCTCTCTGGAACTTGCAGGGGAGGGTGCACTGGGGAGGCCGAGGAAGACCCTGAGGCAGGGAGCGAGTGGAAGAAGGAACAGAAAATATGCGCAGCAGAAACAGCCCCACCCCAAAATGTCAGATTGAGTCAGGAGAGGAAAACAAATGGCGGAAGCATGTGCAGTATGTGATCTAGGAGGTGGGCTGCACAGACAAAGAAAGCGGCTCCTAAGTCGCAAGGTAACAGAGAAAATGTGCCAATTTTACATTTTGAAAGCTGAAAACACTGCCACAGGAGAGTCAAAGCAACTCTTCAGATCTGACCCTTTAGGGACCTGAGCAATCCCACTGGGTACATTGTGGTGCCGCAGTGGCTGCGATCAGCAAAGGGAAACTTGCTAGAAGAGTCTTGTAGGAAAACAAAAATGCTAAAAAGGGATGTGCTTCTCTCGGAGCGGAGAGCAGGGGTCCATTAACGAAGGACACTAGCAAAAAACTGAAGTAAGCTGGAAGTGGGAAGGGTTATACATTGTTGTCCAAACAGTTTAGATTTGCCAGTGTGCAGTAGCTGCATAAGACCGGTTCCAGAATTCCTGTGGTGTAAAAATCAAGCAATGTGGTTTGCCAGTCTCTAACTTTCAATAAAAGAGAGACAGCAAGCTTGCACCACTTCCCCCCTCCCCTACAACCTCCTCTCTCAACCTCTTCTCACTGCTTTCTGGCTTTTTCTTTCCCTTTTTCTATTTCTCTAATTGCTGGGGTTTACCTGGTATATGTTTTTCATGTCTTGTAATAGTCTAGTCATAGATGGAAATAGCCTTTTACAACTATGTATGGGCTGCATTATAAGTGTAGTGAGTACCTAAATGATATCTGGACTGGATGGTTTGTACTTTATATGTATGTGTGTATAATGTTTTTCAAATATCAATAAAAATTGAATATTAAAAAAAAAAAAGAGACAGCAAGAGACAGAAAAAGATATATGGATATGGTGGACAATTTGCTCATGTATCTGTACCATACAAATGATTGCAGTTTATCTTGTTTTCTGTCTTCTTGACTCTCTCCAACAAGACACTGCTGGTGGGAGGAGATCGGGGCCACTACATGAGATTAGGCGGTATGATCAGTCTTTCTGTACATTGCTAGGGTAGTCTGTAATTAATGCCACTGGTTTTATTCATACACAGATAAAGCGGGCACTGTGATGACACCCCCCCGAGGTGTTAAAAACGACATGGCGCGCGTCTATGACAGCCAGGTCACTGACAAGTGGCCTAAATTATGCGGGCCATAATGTGGCCTAGAAGAGCACCGCTATGAAAACATGCCATTAATGTTGTCCAAACTGCAAGAGGGGGTAGAAGATTAGGAGGAGCAATCTTTCCAAGACAACCACTGCATAAAGAAAAAGTGAAGCTGAAGTTGGGTCTTAATATACATGGCACAGACACAGCTAAAAGCAGCAAAGTACTGTATATATGTTCAAAGAATATCTTCAAATAATGTTTTATATTCTTGTATATAAACCTTAAATATTACCTGAAAAACCAGGACACCCATATGAGAAACCGACAAATTGATTTTGGCACCTTCCCGGTCAGATGCAAGGTGGAAGCGTGTTCCATACAGGTCAAGTCTTCTAGAAATCTCTAGAATTTGGAAGTCAGCATCTGCTGGAGACATACCACTGCAAAAGAAAATTATAGCACCAACACACGTCATCAGAAAAAAATAACATTTATATGCTTATAGAAGTAGTATTGAACTAATAATGAATCCAGATAAAAAAAAAAAAATATTTTTTTTCCAATAAAGTATTTCTTTAAAATTGATCCAACCACATTACAGGTTTCTTAACAGTTCCAACTATCTCAGCTTGGCTTCCCTGAACTTCCTGTCAAGTACAAGATCACAAAGGACAGTGTAGACTCCAGCAGCTGCCCATCTACTACCGTAGCTTGGATAAGGGAGAAGCAGGGAGAAGGTCATGTCTTGTGCATGTCTGTCACACAAGGGTGGCTCCATAGCACCCTACAAGGGAAAGAAGCCACCCTAAAACAGAATAGCAGGGCCAGTTCTACGGGGACCAGCTGACTCTGCAGGAAGCTTAAACTTTAAATCATTAAGCAGCATCAAATCTAAGCGATTTAATCAGCATTTGAAAGAGCTTAAAAACCTTTGGAATTTAACATCACTTTAAGAAAATGTAAATAAAAAATAAGATGCCAAACAATCATTAGGATCCATTGTTGCATACAGATGTGAATATAGTCACATATATGAAAATTATACAATCTAACTCACATGTGCTCATGGTGGTTTTGCAATATCCGCTCTTCCAGACTGTGCTGTTTCTGTACATAATGAGTGTTTTTTAGATTCTCCAGGTCCACTTTCTGATCGTAATCCCCAACCTCAGCTGTAACAGACATGTTATATCGATAAGAACATAAAAATATGAAATAAATGCTATGAGCCAACAACTGTTTGACAACACAAAGTATTTGTCTACAATTTCAGGATTCCAAAGCAGAGTATATACTTGCATTAAACACTATGGGGGGAGTTTATAAAACTGGAGCACACAGAATCTGGAGCAGTTGCCCATGACAACCAGTTAGCTTCTCTCTTCAGTTAAGATATGAAAATGAAAGAGAAGCTGACTGGTTGCCATAGACGACTGCTCCAGGTTTTGTCTGCTCCAGTTTCGATAAATTCCCTTCTATGTATTACATCAGCACAGCAACATTGATATTACATTAGGCCATCACCAGAACTTACTGGGGTTTCTTACAGAAGCTGCAGCTGTGTTATTAGCACAGATACAGTACATAGTAACACAAAGACTTATTAAGCCAAAGGCCTGAGAGAACTGTGCTGCACAAAGCAACTTAACAGCTTTATCTAGCACAGGTTAGATAACGAAAGAATGGGTCTAATGGCTGTGGGTAATACACTTCACACGTTCACAGACAAATGCTTTCATACACTAAAACTGCTCCCTTCAAAGCAGGGGTGGGGAACAACCAGCGGGTACCTCCATTTCAACCAGCGGGTACCTCCATTTCAGAGTACCCGAATTGTCATCATTTGCTAAGTTTTTGGTACAAGCATGCTATGATCAGCACAAATAATTTTTGATGTGAGATCATTCCAGCCAAGTGCTAAAAAAGGGACATTCCACCTTTATAAATAATAAAAAAAATGTTTTAAATAATAAATGCACGCTCCTTTACAAAAGACAAATTGTGCATTTATGATTTTTTTTTGCGTAGGAGCCATTAAAGCATTGCAATGGCCATCAGTGGATCATGGTTGTAATACTATGGCTCCAGCAGACTCTTCATTCCACCCAGGTCTGTAGTAGACTTGTAAATTTCATTTTGAATGCAAATTCGGACGAAATTTCATGAACTCTGACATTTGAACGTCTGAATTCCAATGAGGCCGAATGCAAACCATTTAAAATGTTCTTTTAACTAAATTTTGGCTCATCTGAAATTTTGATCAAATCAAACATGTGACTGTTTTCTGGCCAATCAGAAAACCCCGTCCGAAACATCCGAATAACGATGGGAAACAGCGTTAGGACCCAAAAGAACAAAAAATCAGAAACGAAGCTAAACTAATTTTTTTTTGCCGGCTTACATGTCCAGTCTGTACCAAGGTACAGACATTTAGTAACATGGACCAGAGGTAGGGTCAATAGGACTTGTAGTTTCTCCAGTCACATAACCTGTCAAACAAGAACCGTGCCAATCAGGTAAGTGGGGGGTTGGGTTTGTGATCTGACCTTGTATCATGTTACATCCTGAATATTGGTGTAACATGCAACATGGTTAGAAAAGATACCTCAAGGATATAAAGTGAACAACTGTTTTCTATGTGTCCCATTCACACCACAACACAGATGTGATGGGTGGAGCGAATAAGCTGTATTTTATCAAAGCGCAATAGATATGTCGGCCGTGCGACGGTCTTAATGGAGTGTACACAATGTACACCCCACATAAAGTTAAGAAACAAAAGAAAACCTAAGCAGTGACAGCTCTCGCACTGTGCGATACAATGCACACTGCTGGAGCTACCACAATGCGCTAGTCCATCGGCTAAAATGCAGCTAGTGTGAACTGTCCCTTGCAGGCTGCTTTCACTGCCGGTGGCATTTTCTACCCAGTTTGTTACAAGCATCATGTACCATATCTAATCTAAGAAGAATGAGGCAGACTTAATTTTATCCTATTTCTAGTTGTCCAATGTGCCTACAATTCTAAGAAACCGGTTTTGCATGATAAATGTTTGCTTCAAGGCACAAACGGAGACAAAAAAAAGCTCCGGGATCACATTCACGCTTTTCTGAAATGTAGTCACATGTATTTTACAAGTAGAAATGTGTTGCCCAGGGCGTCAACTTGGGTTTTTTGTTAAAGTTTCGCTAATAACAGGAATAAGAAAGGAAAAGGAGAATAAAACTGGTTGCTCCTGGAAATGCGACACGTTCATACATGAAGTGTGCTGTGCACTTTGATCGCATACAACCTTCATCCAGCTCCAGCATGCAGTTTACAAAGAGTTGGGACAGGCTTCCCTTATCGCCCAAGGGTGTGGCCTAGATTACAGAGAAAGATCACACCTTACAGGTAGAAAACTCACACTGCAGGAGCAGAGAAATAAGTAGAGCTGTAGTATTATCACTGCACACCAGCCTCTCTTCTGCAAGGTCCCTCTTGATCTGCATAGCAAAAAGGTACCTAAAGCAAAGAGAATACATGTTACCGCACCGTCACATCTAGAGGGCACCAGAGAATATTGCACATCATTTGCTCTGAGATCTAACCTTGTGTACTCCTCTTGAAGCTGACCAGGGTCAGGGGGGAAAAACTTCACAGCCAGACGCATTTTGGCATTTTTTGGTTCTGTAGATACAGTTATCAAGCAGTACAGATGTCATAAATGTATCGATTTAGAAAAATAAATCAGACATTAAAGCAGTGATGAGTTGACAGTATATCCCTTCAGAAAGCACATAAAACAGATTACGCACCATCCTTCAGAAATGTCATAAACAAACTAAAACAGGAACACAACGGGTTTAAATCAATTGTGCTAGGGGGTAACAAACATGGTCAGAAAGGTGCAATAAGCCTTTAAGATTTTTTTAAGTTTACAATGTCTTGTTTTATGCTATTTTCAGAATTGGTTTAAAATATTAATTTCACATTTAAACTCGTCAAAGTATAAGTGCAATTTTAAATAAATATTATGCTGGGTGTGTGTTTCGCAGGGGAAATACAATTAGCTTCTGTGCTACTTTGCAGAGCATGCTGGGCTTTCTAAGAAAACCCAGCATTGCATCTGCTGCACACTCTTATGAATTAAAAATCCAAACAGCTCTGTCTCTGCTAGCAGTGAGGGATTGGAATATGTCCCTCCTTCAATTCATTCAGCTATTTAAGTGTAATCATGAATGATTCTATTCATGTACAAGCTATTTAGGCTATTCACGGCACAGTAGCAAGTTAGTCTGGGAACACTGCCAGCTCTTCCCTAGATCATGACTTTGAACAACTTTAAAGTGACATTAAACCCTCAGATTTTTTAACAAAATACTGTAATGTGTGCCTTACTGTAATCCATGATTGTGTCCCTTCTCTTTGCTGCCGTATCTCTGCTCTTGCTGGGCAGAACTTCTGTGTTGCAGCAGACTGCCTTGTCTCTGAAATGGATACATGGTGTCTGCGTGAAGGTTCACAACCTGAGCCAGCACTACAGGAAGAGGCACTCAGCTGCAAAGGGAAGTTCTCCCCCAGCGTGAGAAGACATGAGGATTTTAAAAAGGAAGAGCAGCAAAGAGAAGGGAAACAACCATGGATTACAGTAAGGCACACATTACAGTATTGGTTTATGTTAAAAAATCTGAGGGTTTAATGTCACTTTAAGGTCCCTTTCACACAGGCAGCCCGACCAAGTCTGCTTGTCTGTTCTTCAGGCGGACCTGATCGGAAGCCCAATGTAACTCTGGGTAGCCGCATCTAAAAGACATGCGTCTGTTAACACATCGTATTACCCACGACTCTGTCTAGGCCGAAAAAACCCAAAAAAACTAGTTCCATTTTGGTGAACCTAATCTTGACGGACCAGAGGTAAAATTGGATGTAAATGCCCATTTACATCCGACCCCCTCAAGACCTAACATGGGTCTGAAGAACAGCTGTTTTTATCTCCATTGCAAGATGGAGGGGAAAAAACGGAACGGACACAGATGTCACAAGAGTGATATCTGTTCCATTCAGCTCCAATCAGCAGGAGATCTGTGCATGGATCTCCTGCTGTATGGAACGGATTGCACCCGTGTTAAAGGGGCCATAGTGACAGAGTCAATATGCACAGGACAATCGAAAAAAAGCCAGATGAAGACATCTTGCCACTAGTCATTATGAAATAAATTCACCAGCTATGTGGGCTTAACCTTAAAAAAAAAAGGGACATTAGCCTGCCTGGAAAAGTACAAAGTGCAATAATCCATGGAATCCAGACTTTTTTTTTATACCGACCCGAGTGCTTTATCTAAAATATTAAATACAGATGAGAGCATATTGGTTGCTAGTGTTTACTGTAAACTACATGCCATCCCTGCTTTCGGCGCTGCTATATAAATAAACCCCACTGTTCAAAAAAGAACATCAATTCAGAGCCAATGCATAAAAGCAACCAATTGTGACCCCATCACAGAACACCAAAATATATACATGACAAGATCTAATCCAATCACAAGCGTTCTTGATGTTATAAAGTAACTATTTACAAAACACACACATTGTAATATTCTTATAATAAGGAGGTGGAAAGTAAATTCTATAACATCACGATAACTTCCTATCAATCAAGTAAAGCTATATTGTTATGGCAAAGGTTTATGAAAGCTGTGACAAATCTACCCACCCATCAAACAAAACAATAAGAGAACTTACTGCGCAGCTGCTTGCATACAAATTTTAGAGGCTCCAACCACACCTAAAATAGAAACACATTGGGGAGTTGACTTTTTATGGTCATTGACAGAGCTATATTGTAATCATTAAAATCAGAATATTATGGGTGGATCTTCTATTGTGATGCATCTCACTTGCTACTACTCATAATGAAAAAAACATATGCCAAACTTCAGCACAAAAACAAAATCATTGACACAATTACAAAAGAAAAAAAGGAAACATTTTAGAGATTTTTTATTGCCATCACTTTGTAGTGCAACTTTTAAAATTAGAGGCGTCTAAAGTCCCTAGCAAAGTCCCTAGCCAAGCCGAGGCTGCTGAAAAAGAAATTGAGGATTTTGTGTCCTCAATTTCTTTTCCATTTAAAAAAAAGGGAAATGTCAGGGGTCTGTTTGGACCCCTAATATTTCCCCAAAGCCCCCCCAACAGTAAAAAAATAAATAAAATAAAAAATTATTTTAAAAAAGTGAAAACTGCCACCCCCCCACGCATATTATTAGACATGTGCGAAGACTAAAAATGTATCTAAGATGAAATGTCTAATGCTCTGTGCGTTGTGCTGTGGCTGTATGTGTAATGCCCTGTGCGTTGTGCTGTGTGCGCATTGTGCCCTGTGTGTGTTTGTTTGCGTTATGCAGGGCAACTGGTGGCGAGTAACTTTGAAGGCCTGGCTAGTAGCTCAGGACCTGAAATTTTGAGCCCTGCTGTACACTATCATCCAAAGCCTTCAATTGCAGTTGCTGGCCGGATTCCAAGCACATACTGACACATGGCAGATATTGCTAGAATTCCATTCCTACCATGCACTACATTTATAACTGGTTGAAGATTAACACCACAAACCATACTGGAAAAGCGTGTGCTGCCCAGGATGGAAAAAGAATGGAAGTCAGTTGAATTCTAACTTTTTTCGCAAGGAATTTCCACATCACATAAACCAACTTCTCAGATACTAAACTATATATTTTATCCACCCAACATTTAACCAATTAAACATGCCACATGAACTGCATCACACTGGCTTTAGGAACATCATGTTTATAACTGGAGCTTTACAATCCAACAAAAAAAAAAACCTAGCAACTGAGTGGGGCAAACTGATCCACAGTACAGGTTACTGCCAAAACATGGAACACTTCCCAAGGATTGTACAGAAGAATTCCAGGAAAAATAGTATGAGGGTGGCTGAGATGAGTCAAGGGTGTTAAAGTAAACCTGAGCAAAGCAAGCTAACCATGTGATGAAAAGTGCATATATAGGAGGTATTCCTCAGGCTGGATTCAAACCATGTCCATGCATTCAGCTCACTATCCCCTGTGTTAAAGCGGCACTAAACTCAGGAGTTAAAGAGAACTATGGGGTGTTTTCCCCCATAGTTCTCTTAAGGGTCACGGGAAGACATCAACTAGCGTCCTCCCATGACCCAAAGCTCAGTATACCACGAGCTAATGTCCTTCCTTCTGGGGGGTGGCTACTTTTCTTCCCCATGGTCCTGGTGTGCGTTGTAAAGTAGCCACTGAGCTAAACACGAGATTGTAGTCCATCACAGGAGTGTGTCTGGAGCTGTGGCTACTTTACAACAAACAGGAACCATTTAATGCGGTTGAAGCACGTAAAATGCAACGTAGTATAAATCCTGGCTTAAGCCTGCAGTTTGGACCGTCAAATGAACAGACTAGAAGGTAGATTCAGACAGGCGGATGCGGGGCCGGGGCGATGAAGGCAAGCTTACATTTTACAAGTAACCTGTATGTATTATATCATCAGTTTGATTTGTCCGTTTTTTTTATAGATTTGCTTGAACATTGTCTGTACATTTTGCATATATGGGTGTCAAGATGGGGATGGTCAAAAAAGCAATCTTCACTCGGCAAGTGTTCTTCAGAAACTAGAGCTAGAACCTTTTTATTAAACCATCCAAACAAGAGTAGCGTTGAAGACATTAGTAAACTTCATCACATTGAAAAGCCCATTATAAAAATTCTCTACCTTGTGTAAACCTACCCAAGAACATAGCCTCAACTAACAAAGCAGACACTCCCAATGTGGGCCTGATTTCCACATTCAGCTGGCATATGGCAGCTTACTGGAATTACAGATTATTTCAGGTGATACAGTAACTGAATGATGAAGCAATTTCAAAATGTCTAAAGTATATTTTAATATATTTGCCTCGAAAGGTTATTTTTTGGGTAATTTTCTCTTGATATATGTAAATCATGCTATGTTTATCCACAAGTATCGTTCAGCCTCTCTACCATTGCAAAACAGATTTTTTATTTTTGTTGCCCTGTGATATGAAACAGCTGCGTACTATGCATGGGACTATATCCAAGCTTTAAGCTACAGCAAACTGTAAAAAAAAGTAAAAAACAAAGTGTCACATGTTATATATAAGAAGTTAAAATTAGCAGCAAGGTTCTGAATTTTGAAAAAGATACAGAATGAAAACTGCAGATAAATAAGCTAGTCGCAATAAATAAATGTAGATACAGGTGTAACCTAAAAGCAAAGTCACACATGTAGGTACTAATGTTTTAGGAAACCGACAAAAAAAAAAAAAAAAAAAAGAAAAAACAATACATATACGTAAATTATGAAAACAAGCCAACAAAAGTAAATTGATTATAAATAGAGAAATAGAGTTGAGGGCTTAAAGTGCCACATAGTAGCCTTACATACCCACTGTGACTGCGCCGTCTGGAACTCGATGCCAAAATAGTCTGTCTCCACCATATTCAGATGAGTGAACAGTTGGCTCAGCAATGCTTGGCCTATGGTTTTTGGCTGCACAAGACAGAGACTTGTCAGAACACAGAAAAGTACAGAAATGCCTCTTAAAAAAGGAAAAACTAGAGCTGCATTAAGAAAACAGATATACAATAAATTATTTCTACAAATATTGTAATTTAATGATATATAAATTAATGTCCCCTTTTTAAATTGCAAGCCACAGTTGTTTCCTAAGAGCTCCAAATTCCTCCTTCCCTACATCCATAGCAACAAAGCATTTTTTTGTATATAGAACTTCTCAATCCTTAGATGGCAGCCAGGATACAAATCACATTATCCCCCTGTCCTGATTGGCAGAGGTTATTCTTTATATGCTATTGGGATGACATCTCGCCGTTTCTGCCTAATATATTCAACTGTGGAAAAAAAAATTCCAACCAACAGGGAAAGGAGTCATTGTATCTGTGTGGACATAACGCATAGGTACAAATCAGCTTCAAAAGCCAGTTTTTACATAGAGTTTTACAGCTGCTATCTAGAGTTCTCTAGAAAGTTGTAACAGCATCTGTATGCAGCGGTACAGACAGGACAGCAAAATAAATAGCCATGGTCATTTTAGAATTAAGGCATCCTCAACACTGTCCCTAGTATTACTGTAGTAAGGATTGTAAACTCAGGTGCTAATGCTGATGTATCTGCAAAAAATAAATCAAGGCAACTGGACTTGCTGTAAAATATTCTTGTACAAGTTTTCTCCCTAAAATATGTTGCAATAAGGTCCAGTTACCTTGATTTCTTTTTTACAGATATACCATGATCTGGATGCATGAGAACCTTTACAGACCGATGCTGATGGTTTCAATATGCTGTGTACAGATTTTATAGCACTATTGTAATGTAATGATCCAACTCATTATTTACAAAGCAGAAGAAATTAAAAGAATTATGAGGCGAGTGATTTTCACTCAGCCTCATAATCTGAGCCGACCTGTGACAATGAAACTGTCACAGGTCGGCTCAGTAGATCGGGAAGTGAGTGAACACATCGTCACTCGCTCACTTCTCGATCCTGTCCCTGCAGAGAGCAGTGACTGTCACTCACGGCTCCCTGCAGGGATTCCCCCCCCTCCCCTGTCCGATCCTCCAGCACTGAATGGCGGAAAGGGGAGGGGGTGGGCACTGCTGTCAATCCTGCAACTGGGTGGATCCAGACACTATTGTCGGGATCTGTCCCGGCATCTCAGTATACCGCGAGCGGTAGCTCACGGTATACTGCGCTTTGGGTCACGGGAGAACAATAGTTTGTGTTCCTCCATGACCCTTAGGAGGAGAACTATGGGGAAAAGCCCTGACCCCATAGCTATCCTTTAAAGAACTATGTGACATGGCTTACAATGGCTAATCTACTGTTGAGACACTTGGGAAAAACACAATCTGAGCATCTTTAAGGGAACAATTGCCAAAAAAGCATGTGGGAGGTAGACCTAACATGTAGATAAAGGTCTTCTGGTCCGAGGAGACCAAGACTGAATTGCATGGCCTAAACACAACACCCTACATACAAACACTAAGGGCATTTTATAGTACTTCCCAGGTCAAAGCTCTAAGCTCAATCCAATTAAGAATCTGTTATAGGACACACAGGAATTTGTTTCATAAGATGATGTATGGCATTTAAGGTGAATGGCTCATCATAGGCTCCAGTGCTAAATCCCTGCATGCTGGTCCAGCTCGTTGCAATCTGGCAAATCCATCTGAAAAAGCACTTTGCCGCATGAAACATGTCAGAGGTGACCCCTGCTGCTATTTAGAAAACATCAAATTAATTTCCTTTCTGACTTGTTCACCAATTGCCACTCAACCTGCCAGAGCGACAGACATTTTGCCAAGAATGGGCAAATACAACAGCATCCAGATGTGCAAAAGACTTACCGCAAAAGACTCAGCCGCAATTGCAGCCAAATTATCCTTGTTACAATAAAGATTATTATCCTCCCAATTACAGGCCAATTTAATTCTAGGCTGTAAGAATAGCACATGCAAAACAGGCCAAGGAAGGAGGGGGTTGGAGTGCCAAGCCCTGTACATGTTCTTGTGTTGGCACTATACAAATTTTGCTAGCCAAGCCATGCTGGTAGTCGTAGTTCCTTTTCAGCGGATTGCTTTGGCAGGTTCAGATCATTTTAGACAAGACGTGTAATAATGTATATAATGTATACATTATTACAAAAAATACTTTATTCAACCTCAAATACTATGTAACTATGTAACTATGTATTAGATGCATATCAACTATTTAACGGCTTACAAGTTCAGCCAAATGCATGCGCCTCTAATGTTATACATATATATGAATCAGTCATCCAATGTACTGATTCTAATCTGAGTGTCAGCTCTGGGGAGTAGAGGAACGTGGGATAGTTCCACTGCAAGAGAAAAACACTACTAGTTGTAGTTATTTGCAGAAAGTACTCTGAAAATGGGACAAACTAATCAATTAAACTTGAGGAAGGACAGAACTGTTTTGGCACCTTTAGTTCTTTTGTAGCCAAAGGGACCTCTACAGACTTCAGAGAAAATTAAAGCTTTGGACTATTAACCAAAGCCGTCTTAGCATCTGGACACAATTCTCTCCGGAATTCAGAAAATTCCCCCTACAAATGGAAATAACAGAATCAGCCTGTGTGAGGCCAGAGAAATTCCACTGCGTTAACCCCCTTATGTTCACCAAGACATCCTGCATCTCAATTCGAATCTGACGAAACTCAACATTGAGCACTGTACATCACAGCGTCATTGTGCTGGACTACATGTCTCGTACCAATAGAAAACATCCTTACAGGTTATGAAATTATACACTTAAAAGCCCAACCGTGCTAACTATCACCCAGCCCAGAATTATTTATACTTCTCTGCTGCTGACAACACACCACCAAGAGGCCCGTCTATGACCCCCTGGCTCAAAAGAAGTATGGGTTGAATGATGCTGGGTGTCAGAGAATAGTTCATGGTGGAGGACATGGAGGGCATTGCTAGAGTTTGGAGACAGTAATTAGAACTTTAGTTTGTTTTTTTTATGCAAGGGGAAGTAAAGGGTTAAAAAAGAAGAACGCTGGAAATGGGTTTTAAATATCCAAGCGCTACAAAGGCAGCTTTCTCACTTTTGATGGGGATGTACATTGATTTGCCAGCAGAGGCAGTATCTGTATGGAGCTTGTATGTTCTCCTAGGTTCTGTGTACATTCCCTTCAGGTCATCCCCATTCTCATACAATCCAAAAACATGCTGGAAGGTTGGAAGTGAAATTCCAGCCAGCATCGTATGCAACAAAGCTATTTTTTTTTTCCATTTAAACATTGCAGGAATAAGCATCTGTTATGTATGTATGTATGTATGTATGTATGTATGTATGTATGTATGTATGTATGTATGTATGTATGTATGTATGTATGTATGCATGCATGCATGCATAGTAAACCCATGATAAAAGTATAATAGAAAAACACAATGCTTATTTACCTCCAGCAATGCCTGTAAAGGACGAGAGGAACCACATTAGACTTGCATATGATGCACTTGTAGGAGCAATTTATTGACATTTTATGTTCAGCAAACTCAAGCTTTAACTCAAGATTTATGTAGCCTGATCTCTTCAGTTCTGTTAAACACGCTCTCCAATATGGGGTATGAGAGACAGGATAAAAGGGACAATCTGTCACAGCATCTGCTGAACCTACCATAATGTTTTACCATTGTTCCCAATAGACACACCACCGATAAGAGTGGCCCGAGTTAAGCTGGCCTTAGGAAATGCGAATTTTGGATGATTCCTGCTGAAACTCAAGCCATGGATGACCAGTCAGCATCTCAAACTTTGAATGAAAAATCGGGTGACTGAACAGTGACTGCATCCAATAAGATACAATAGCTGCAAGAGGATATTTCTTCATCAACAGTGTTAGTGCAGACCAAGAAATTATGCGTGTATGGCTTGTCTAAAGCTGGCCACACATTATGCAACTTTTGGCCAGTTCTTCAGGACCAGCTGAAATTTTCACAGTGCGTGCTGCTGTCGGGCCCCTTTCGGCCAGCATCCCTTGATCAGAAGGAGCCAGTCGGAAAATACAACTTTAAAAAAGGTAGCTATTGAAGGAGAAGTATTGGGAGTAAAATGTACTCTTGCCAATACTTAGGGCCGGCATGCGACCCTGAAGCGGTCACACGTCGACGCTATAAAATAAAATCAAGCAACAATTTTTGGAACGTTTGTTCGAATATCTATTAGAATGGTGGATTCGACAGAAGAAAATGACAATGTTCAAGAAAATTTTTGAAGGAGCATGTGGGAAAATTTCTCTTGATTGAACTCATTTCTAACAGTTAATGTGGTTTTTATTTGGATACTCCATTCATTTAAAAATAGAACGTTAAATAAAAGCAAAAATGTAATTAAATTTCGAATGGCAATTGGCAAGTTTGTTCCCAGTATCTAATGAACGGACGGTATTTTTCGTACGAACGTTCGTGCACAAATCTACCAATGTATACACTACTTAAGGCTAGCTTCCTGTAATACACTGTACAGCAGGAAGGTGGGAGGGCCAGCAGCGTTTACTAATCAAATTCTACTGCATTGTGTAGTGCTGTTAAGCTAAATACTGGGGGCTTGTTGACAAGTGGAAAGAATAGAGAGATCCCTGAGGAAACATTTACAAAGCTTGCTTACACTACTAAATGTAATTTGGAAGAAACGCCCTTTCAAAGTATTGCCTTGTGTGCAGTCTTCAGCTATTGCTTTCTTTTGTTACCTTTTTATTTGCAATTTTTTTATCTTTACACCAAAAAACTGATGATCAGCAGCAGCATTGGAAGCACAAATTTATTATTTATTTAATAAAACAGGCAAGTTGTGGCTTTCATAAGTAGTTTATAAAAGTTACTTCTGATGTTCCTGCCACGGACCCATCTTGGGTACACATCTCTCTAACAGACTTAACTTCATTATTTGCACTCTATGCCCGAAGCCTTTTCTTCCGTCTTCATGTGGGTGTTAG